AGGATAGGAGTCTCCCATTTTCTTGAGTTTCTTGCATTTGAATAAACCACTTTCCTTCTCATCAGTGATGATTTCAGCATTATCTGGTTTGAAAAATAGGGTATTTCCTCCCAATCCTAATGGGGTGTCCTGTATCTAATCTAGTGTGTCCAAATAAGTATGTCACCTTTGTAGGAGCAAATGATATATCAGGTGGTTTGTTTTAGTTGCATAGTTTCTTTACATTTTGTATGTTATATATTTTGTGGGGTGTTATATATACATCCAGGAACATGCGTATCTTTAAAATGCCATCAATACATCATGCACATTTGTTAATATATATTGAATTGTCGTTGTGAAGAATATGAATTGTCATTGTGGATAATTTAAATACTAGAAGTTGGAAATTATGATGAAAGTTATGGTAAAGTCTAATTCTTGGGCAATATTAACTGGAAAGGTTATATCCCATGGCTCATGTTTCTAGGGACAGCTATCCTAAATGGAAGAGAGGAGCATATGATCAAACTAATCTATTACCCAGTGTTAGTTTATAGTAACAAACATACTATACAGTGGCTTATATAGCATAAAAGTGTTAGCTCATCCACCGAAGGATAGAAGTTTGAGATTAAGTTGTCAGCAGGGTTGGTTTCTTCTAAGGGCTGAGAGAATCTGTTCCATGCTTCTCTTCTAATTTCTAGTGGGTTTTGTTTTGTTTGTTTGTTTGTTTGTTTTTGCAATCTTTGGTGTCCCTTGGCTTGTAGAAATATCATCCTGATCTCTGCCTTCATCTTTTCATGGCATTCTCCCTGTATGCATGTCTCCCTGTCCAAATTTTCCCATTTATAAGAATATCAGTCATACTGGACAGGGCCCACTCTAATGATCTCGCCTCAATAAATCACATCTGCAATCACCATATTTCCAAATGAGCTCACATTCTGAGGTAGTGGGATTGAGGGCTTCAACATATAAAGTTGAGTGTGGACATAATTCAACCCATAACACTCAGTTATAGGTTTTAACATATCTTCAACTAGTATTTGAAAAATTATTCCCCAAAGTGATTATACCAATTCACCCCCACAAGCAGTGTATGAGTGTTCCTGTTGCTCCACATCCTTGCCAACTCTTGGTATTGTCAGTCTTTCATTTTTGTCCATAAAATGGCAATAAAATTATATTCCATTTACTTAATTATTAGAGAGCTTGAGCCCTTTTCATGTTTATCGAGTGTTCCTGTTTTCATTTTTGTCAATTGCTTTTTAATTTCTATTGCCTTTTTTTTCTATCATACTTACTAAAAACATATGTATTGAATGCCTATTATGTACCAGATATTATTTTAGGCACCTGAGATATGGTAGGACATAATTTCCATTCACATATGGTTTATATTCTAGAAAGAACGATATAAAAATCCAACATAAGGTAATTAGATAGCATATTAGGTGATAAGGGCTGAAGAAAACTAAAGCAGAACCCTGGCTGGTGTGGCTCAGTTGGTTGGGTGTCATCCTGTACACCAGAAGATTGCTGGTTCGATTCCTGGTCAGGACACATGCTTGGGTTGTGACTTAATCCCTGGTGAGGGGCTATGCAGGAGGCAGCCAATCAATATTCCACTCTCGCATCAGTGTTTCTCTTTCTTCCTCTCACTTCCTCTCTAAAAAGCAATAAAAATATACATATTAAAGAAAAGTGAAGTGGAGAAGAAGGTAAGGTGTGCCTTGTGGTGACTTGCAATTTAAAATCTCAGGGCCAGGTCAAGCCATATGGAGAAGGTAATATTTTGCAGAAATACTTAAAAGAAGTGAGAGAGCCAGCCATGTGCCCAACTGGTGAAAGGATTTTTCAAGAAAAGGTTGGAAGGGCAGCTACCTGAGTAGGGAAGGGAAATGGGAGGTCAGGTCTGAGAGGTGAGGGGCAGAAGGGGCAATCTCGTGCAGAACCTCATAGGTGGGTGTTAGGACTTTAGCTTTCACACTTCAGTGAAAAATCATGGGGGGATTTTGAGCAAAGTGCTTTCTAAAAGCATTCTTCTAGGAACTAGGTTGAGTACAATAATACCAAAATTAAAAATTAACAGCAATCCTGTGTGCGGTGCTTTGTTCCATGCACTGAGCCAGGAACTTTACATATATTAACTCATTCCAGACAGGTGGGGAGACCTGCTCCGGTTATTAGTTCTTTCTCCCTGATTTATGGATGTTCCTTATGTGTTCTAGGTACTGCTTGTCTTTCGGTGATTGTATGTGGTTGCAAATATCTTCTCCCCTTTTGTGGGGTCTTTTTTACTATTTAAATTATGACTTTTGCTTTCAGAATATATATATTTCTCTCTTGGGCTTTTCTCTCATTAACTTTTTAGTAAATGCCTTCTTTAACTCAAGTCACCCACAACTTTTGGCTAGTTATTTCCTCTTCTACCTGCTACCATGACACTTGGTACAAACCTCTCTTGGAACACTAGCGTTACCTAGCCTTGCGTGTCTTCATCATTGTTCTGTGAGTTCCAGGCTGTGGGATCCTGTCTTATAAATTATGTCCAGGAACTAGCATGTGCTCAATAAATGTTTGTAGAGGTCGGTGGGGAGATTTGGAATTGAAAGGAAAAAATGCTACTAGCCGCCTGTTTTCTCTCACACTGATCCCAGTGCCAGGAGGCCTAGGAGAAAGGGGTTGCGATGGGAAACGGAACTGCATGCTGCATAGTGCCGCGGCTCAACATCCTGAGAACACTGGTGTGTTTGCACGAATTAACCTTTGCAGTTCAGCGATCACCGGGAGAGCTCCACGACCACCGTCATTTTACTGACCCCACTGTGGAGGGACGTGCAGGAATTCGCCAAAGGGGAAGCAGAGTGCCGGTTCCTAGAATGGCTACTCTCAATATTTTAGTTGCTTGGAGTATTTCCCTCCACCTTTGGGCAATGGTCCGCTGTGGAAGGACCAGGAACCGAAGGTGAGGCACCGAACACAGACACCGGCCCCGACCCGCCGGGATTAGACGCCGCTATGCTCACTGCGCATGCGTTCTTGGCGGTCCTGAGGGGGAGGAGCCAGGCTGTTTCCTAGGTGACGGAGTGGCGGCCTCGGCGGTGGATTGAGCGGGTCTGGACGAGCTTCCCAGAGGGCTGCGCGCGCTCGGCCGTCGGCGCTGTCATGGCGAGCCTGCTGAAGAAGGTGAGGTGGCCGGAGGG